GGCAGTTTCCGTATGAGGGAGTCACAAGGGAGCCAGTCTCCGTTCTTAACATCCCACATGACTTTTATTTGAATTACCCCTTTCTCAACCTAGGCTCTCCCAAAGGATTCTGGACTCCCGTCCGCCTTAAGGGTTTCCCCTCCCACCTGAACTATCAATTTATTTTCAAAGATTATGTGGTTCAATATTTATAGCTTGGACACCGGTTCTCTTAGATATTCCAGTTTAATTTTTTTCCAAGCCTGCAGGATGTTCTTCCACATTCTTGACTTCGGTCTCTTCTGACAGTAAGAATCCATGCACAGACATAGCCGCATATGTCCTTGCTCCTGTAGATCCCACTCCTTCTGCATAGTATATTCTGCCAGCTGAATCCACAGTTTCCCTTTAGGACCAAAGATTGTCTGTGATGGCCATTTGGCCAACAGAGCGATGTTTTGTTGCATGGGGTCCAGGATGCCTAACCCCCCTTGATCTCTCGGACATGCCATCGTCTCCCACGCTATTTTCACCATATAACCCTCCTCCTCTTTTGCGTGGGGCTGCCAGATATACTTAGCACCAGTTATCTGGATTGCCCTATATGTCGCGTCTCCCAAAAGGTGTATTGTCAGGGGAAACTAAAGAGTGGAGAAGGCCGCCGAAGACAACACTAACGACCCTTCCAAATAGGGATAGCTGAAATTTTCTGGGCCACCCCTGAACCTTGCCTGTTACTTTATCTCTTAGGATGGTATCCCGTATTTTTGAGCAATCCGAAAATGACACCTGAACTCCCAAAAACTGGTAGGAGGTGTTGGCTGGGATGAGTCTGAGGCCCCAATCTACGCTTATGGTGAACAATCGGGGGAGAAAAAACACGGACTTGTCCCAGTTAATTGATGTTTATGACAGAGTGCAGTAGTTTTCCAATACCTTTCTCAGTTCATTTAGGGAGGAAGGTTCATTCATGCATGCCACTGTCAAGTCGTCAGCAATGGCACCGCCCTTCCATTGGATATTCCGGGGGAGGTTCAGACCAATTATCCTATCATTCACCCTTATGTTTATAAGTAATACTTCTAACTGTACCACGAATAGCAACGGGGCTAGCGGACATCCTTGCCTTAGTGATCTAGTCAGGGGGAAAGGAGCTGAGAGATGACCGTCCACCATGACCGTAGACGTGGCCTCAACATAAACCCAAACCTTTGCCACCTTTTCAACCAAAACCTAGCGTGCGGTCACAGGGGCAGCTACCAGTTCCGCATTTTTCAAAGAAACTGCCACCAACCCCCAAAGTATCGTGCCTGCACCTGCCTGCATTTTTCGAACCTTCCAACGACCAAACGAGCACGAATCAACGACCCATATAACGAAGGGCGACGAAAATGTCTGGGGGGAAATGTCTCAGGGGAGGGAAAACGCACCCCTGATGGGCTGCGAACTGCCCCCACCACAACCCACGACATTCCCATTCTCGCTAAAAGACAAAAGACCTCGGGACTAAGCGCAACCTCTTGGATGAGAACTGAGGAGAGGCATTTCTAAAGGTCGGCTGCGAATCAACCTCTGAAAATACCCAGAGTTCTAGCTCGTGCCCATTGGGGCCCAACTATTGCCCTTGGAAATTTCAGTGATTGATTCTGCTCTCACATCATGCTGGGAACAATTAAGTTTGATTGCTAACCAAAGGCATGCCTCTCTATTATGGTTGGTCTCCTTGGTTGCTTGCTGAATGTGGACTGAAGCTGGATCTGACATGTAAAAGGTGTCAGTGGGCATTCAAATTGACTGTTCATTTGTGGTGGGATTGTCCGGCCTCTAGTCGAATCTGGCAATGGTGCATTAACCACTGGAACCGGTTTTCGGGTTCGGTCTTTGAATGGGATAAGGTGTGGGCCCTGTTAGGTGGACTCCTGAGGACATCTCAAGGGCTAAAGGATGGGGCTATGTAGCTCAGACAACACGAGCAGCGTGTTTCACAGTAATTTGGCAAAGTCGTAATGATCAAGTTTTTTAGAACAAAGAATGGACAAATCGCCAAATCCGAAGCACTTTTACTAGTCTGATGAGACAGTCAATCTTGGCGGATTGGCATCACAAAGTGCATCCTCAGCAGTTATCACAGAGCGGTCTTCGCTGGTTCTTGGACACATGGGCTCTTCGGGGTACTCTGGTTCGAGTAGAGGGCACACAACTAGTCTTTGATCCCTGGCTGCTCCAGGCATGATCAGAACTCCTACAGTGTTGCCGCCTGGAAATGATTGTTGACTAAGGACGATTGTTGCTTACCTGCTAACTTTGAGATAGGTAGAGCTTCAGGTAAGGTAATCTTAAAGCTAGCCTGTTGTTATTTGTTAGGCTGTTGATAAATGCAGTCTGCTGCTTAATGACGGATTTTGTGGCAACCTGTAGCGCTCGGTTGCAGAGTTTTTGGGGGGCCACAGTAGGCAGGCAGTGGGTTGTATTGATGGAGGGAGCAGCTACTAAGATTGGAATCCTAAGCTGGGATTTGGTATCTTCGCCCCGCTTTAGGGGAAACCTTTAAGGGTGTAAGGAGAGGGAATAGGTATAAAGCTGGGTATGATAATGCTCAGAGCTATAGGTTAGCTTAGGGGGTCCTGGGTATATTTTGGTTTGTGTGGCCTTGTGGTTATTTTTGTTCCCAGGACTGGAGGGTTTTCTGTGCAGGGGTCTGAGATGTGGCCAATTCTGCTGAAATTTTTCTCCAGTGCCTGCACCTAAAGCTGGGTAATGGTCCGAGCATCTTTTTTTTTTTTTTTTTTTTTTTTCTGAGCATCTTTTCCGGGTTGTTTGTGGAGGAATTCCGGGCCTCCTTGTTATAATGAAATGCAAAGTTGGTTTAAAAAAAAAAAAAAAAAAAGGCCGGCTGCCGTGGTGGGAGGGTCCCTCTAGTCGAGCAGGGCGGCTGTTCAAGCGAAATGGGTTCAGAGGCGGCCGGACACCGGTCTCTCTAAGTAGCTTGTCGGGTGCCGCCGTGGACCAGAGGCATTTCCAAGGCCGGCTGGGTGGGTCACTCTGGTCGACCAGGGCGGCTGTTCACATCGCGACCCTTTCACAGCGGACGGACAAACGGTTGCCCGCCTGCGGTGCTCCGAGTGTCCATCACACTTCAGGACAGATGCATCTTGTTCCGTCCGCCCGCTACAGCTTTCATGGGTAAGGATTCCAGGCAGCAAGGGCTGGAACCATCAGCCGCCTGGCGTTGAGGGTCCGGAACGCACTAGCGCGCGACTCAACAGGGCAAGCCCCGACGCGGCACTGACACGCCACGGCGAGCGTGTGAGCTGCCAGCTGATGTGCGTATTTTCAACCAAGCGTGTTTCGTTGTTCTCTTTCTCTCTCTCTCTCTTGAAAGGAATGCTCTTTGTCTGCATGGGTTAGGCGAAGCGTGACCTGGGCGGAAGATTGTGAATAACGGAACCTCTCCATGTGATCAGGGAGGGGAGACTAAGAAGAGGGCAATTTTGAGCGTCGGCCGGTGGTCGAGAGTTGCACATAAGGTTGGATCGTCTTGCGTTTTATGTACTCCCCTCGTGGAAGACTCGTCTACCATTAACATCCTCGGCCCATTTTCGGGACTCTTAGCGGTATTGCGTCCTCGCATCTCTTTCCGGTTCTCAATCCAGTTGCCTGCCTGTGCCTGGCTACCTTGTTTCTTCTGTCCTTTTCTGGCTTGTCTTCTCTTGTCCCATTTGCTCCGCTTCCTGTTCTCTTGTCTGCTGCCTTGCGATAAAGAATAATTCGGCGACGTGGCTGGGGTCTCGGGACGGCGGGATTTAGTGGGGGCCAAACAAACGAAGATGGTGCAGTGGAGTTGCTATCTGGATCGGTTCTCAGAGCGTACTGAAACGGGTGTTGATGCATTTGTTTGAAAATTTCGAGTTATTCATCTATTTATTTATTTGTTTTATCTATGTTATATATGTGCGTGCGCTCGCGCTTGTTGCTCACACAGAGAGAGAGAGAGAGAGAGAGAGAGAGAGAGAGAGAGAGAGAGATAGAGAGCTGTCTCTTATACACATCTAGATGTGTATAAGAGACAGCTTTATGGTCGTCCCGACAGTCGGGCGCCTTGAGT